TAAATCAAATATAATAATTTGTCATTTTAGAAGAATATGATAGATTAAATGCCCAGTTGTCAATAGACGATGCAGAGAAAAATAAAAACAAAAAACATGAAGTCAAAAAGGAAAAGAGTATATTGTTGCAAAAAATCGAAAACAAAAATAAATGGAAGACATCTAAAGATGAACAAAGCCCGACACAGGAAGTTGTCTTATCTGTAATATATTAATCTATATAACAATTTTATTACTTAATCGTTTCTATCAGTTTCAATTATTTATTCAACATTAAATTGTCTTTATTTAATTTTAACTGTTATACGTTATTCTTAATTTTGCAATTTCTTGGTAGACTGAGGCAACACACAATATTCCTTCGAGACAAAAGCTTCCTGATGGGTCTCCTATAATAGCTATTTTGGTCGTTTCTTGTAATCGTATTACAGTAGAGCGATGTTTAAACCAATTAATTAAGTTAAGACCTAGTAAAGAACAATTCCCAATAGTTGTATCGCAAGACTGTGATCATCGACAAACTGCTGATGTCATAGCAAAATATGGAAACCAGCTGCTACATATAAAGGTATTACTATACATTGAAAATAATTTATTTGTATCACTATATCTATTATTTAAGAGAGCGTATTCTTTCAATTTTCTTTTAAAGAGATTATACTTTCATTCTTATGATGGATGTATTACAATCTTTATGCTCACATTTCAGCAACCTGATCAGTCCGATATTGAAATACCACCTAAAGAAAAGAAATTCAGGGGATACTTCAAAATCGCACGTCACTATAAATGGGCGTTAAATCAAGTATTTCTGAAGCTTGGATATAATACTGCAATTATAGTTGAAGGTACGATAGTGTAGTCAAATCTTTATGAGCATAACTATTATATAACGAATGCGACACATTTCTACAGGATTAAAGAGATTTAGTTAAGATTGCTTCTAATTTTTATACAGACGACTTGGACATCGCTCCAGACTTTTATGAATACTTCCTGGGGACTTATCCCTTATTAGTAAATGATAGCTCTCTATGGTGTGTATCTGCATGGAATGATAATGGTAAAGCCGGCTTGGTGGACGAACATGCGCCACATTTACTGTATAGAACAGATTTCTTTCCTGGCTTAGGTTGGATGCTCACGCGCGATTTATGGTTGGAGCTTGCATCTAAGTGGCCCAAATCGTAAGCATAATTTTATATTTTAATATAAACTAATGTGGTTTGATCTATCTATAATATTTATGGTTTTAATAATGGCACATCTGCTTGCGTAGATACTGGGACGACTGGATAAGGCAGCCGGAACAGCGTAAGAATAGAGCTTGCATCCGCCCGGAAATCTCACGAACCAGAACATTCGGCAAACTTGGAGTCAGCAAGTACTTCTTTTTATCCATATTTTTTATTTATATATTATTTTTACATTAAAAATATTGCAGATAAATGTTGTAAGACTGATAAAAATAATTAAAAATAAAATAATTTGAGTAAATTAAATCGGTGAATTTGTCTTGTTACTTCTAGCGGTTTATTCTTTGAAAAACATCTGAAATACATCAAGCTAAATGAACAATTTGTGCCTTTCACCAAGATGAATCTATCCTATTTATTAAAAGTAAGAGAACAAACATCAGATTCAATCATTGGCAAATACATATCTATTGAATTCAAAGTATATTTATAATTGTTATGTATTATAATTGTTATTTACTTCCAGGATAATTATGATATAGCTTTCGTCAACCAAGTGTATCAGTCGACAGTGGTTAGCTATTCCGAATTGAAAAGTGGGAATATTGTTGCCCCTGGTCCAGTACGAATACCATATTACACTCGTCAATCGTTTAAAAATATTACCAAATTGCTTGGTTTAATGGACGATTTCAGGGTATCTTCTTTTCTTAAGATTAAGATTTTTGTTAATTCATTTTAAATTATATATACTATTTCAAAAATATGTATTACAGAGCGGTGTGCCAAGATCAGGATACCGCGGTGTGGTGACGTTTTTTTATAATGGAAGACGCGTGCATTTAGCACCAAGTGCAAATTGGAGCGGTTATGATATAACATGGAGCTAACACATGATTATGCTCTATAAAGACTTGTAGATTGCACAAGAATATCGCGTGCATTTCTTCTTTGATATTCAACAGATTAGGTAATAATTGCGATGAATCAACAGTGAAATCTGTATTTATGTCAGCAGCATACGGCTATGCTCCATAGAATTAAGTAGAAGCCGATGTTACATTCCTCATCGGTTCCTAATCGGTTTTAAACATACCCTTTCGTAAAGAAATGTGTCACACACATTTATAAGTTTATATATAATATATGTGATTTATGCGTAAATGAATTATCATTTACAGTATGTGTGTATATA